AGCAGGGCATCAAATCATTCAGGTTGCCTAGCCTACTTTGAAGATTGATGTGCAAGGATTTCATCGAGAACCTCTTCGGAAAGAATACTGAGAAACATAGATCAATTCTGTATTCTTTAAGCAACAGTATCACGAGACCATCTTAGTGCGCCCCGCCCGCGATAGTCCTTACAATCAAAACCCCCAGAAGCCAGTGCACTAAAGAAGTAAAATCAAGAAAGCATATATCTACCTGTCTTCCATTCTTCACTGGTACAGAACGCAACATGCAAGATCGCTCTCCTCTTAACGGAAGCAAACTTGGATTTTTTTAAATGAGCATTGCTTGATACCCCCGCATACAACCAGCGCTCCCATAGCGCCTGCAGACGGTTTCAGACCACTCGATGCGAAGAGCTTGGTATCCCTCGGTCGCCACCGTCCCAGGTCATCAGGAATCTCAGACTCCTCTAGGATCACGTCTGGCTGTTTAGCCGCTGGCAAACCTGCAATCAGCTGTTGCGTTTGATCCATCGGTATGCCCCGAATGCTTCATCTTGTTGCAGCGCGATGCGAGTAGTGGCGCCGTTCATGTCTCTGACTGATTCTGCGGCCTCTCGAGTTTGCATGGTGAAGATTATCTGGTGTTGGTGCTCGCAGGCCGCACGTGCAAGTGACTTCAAATTGTCTTGCGCTGCGTCGTTGGGAACGCCGCTGTCTAGCACATTGTCGAATATCACGTGCAACTGGATGTTCTCCCGTCGCAAGGCCCTAAAGAACGGATGTCAGCCATGAGGCTTTCGTCAGCGATACGAAGGAAGGCTCGCAGCCTCTGGTTCAGATTGCCCTGCAGCAGGACGAAGGCGTCATTTACCCGACCATTTGCCACGGCAGTGATTGCCAGTGTAGCTGCAACTGACTTGCCCGTGCCAGATTCAGCATAAACCGCTGACACGCCTGGTGTGCTGTTTAGCAACGTCGCGACCATCAACTGCTCGAAGTAGGTCTTCCTGACCGGTTCTTTGGGCATGTTGCTGCTCTGGGTGCTTGATATGATTGTGTTGTTCTGCACTTGCAGCTTCTCCTTCATTGACTGTATGAGTTCTGACACATGATCGTCGACGTCGCCAGTGCCATCATAAACACCTAGTGTTATCCACTCAGACCATACTTTCCCCGCGCTGCTGAAACTGGAGACAAAGTTCGTAAGTGTCTGAGCCTGTATCAGAGCAGCCGACACTGCTTGGACCGACGGGTCCCGAAATGCTTCTGCCGCCTGTGCAACCCAGGCAGGTGGAAGAGCACGCCGGGGAAGCCAGTTCTTGGCACGATCGGGTGCGCTGAAGCTAATGGGGCATCCGACGTGTTGCAGCCACAAGAAAATCACCACCCACAGCACGGATCTCTGGCGTACTCTTCCCATTGCTTCAGCCACTCGAAGACACCGTGGCAATGCGATGGGAGCAACTTGCAGGAAAATTATGCTTGTACATCAATTCAAGTTCACGAAGCATGCTTGTATAGACATCAAAACAAATTCGTGAAACATGATTTTCTACTTTTGGGCATGTTGCGTGCTCCTGCATACGCTTGGTGTGAAACTTGCTGGCAAAAACAAGCTGCTGAAGCCAACCACGCAACATCGGTGGCAAGTCATGGCATGCAAGCAAGCACTGCTCCGCGCCAACGATTTCACAAATCGCTAACTTTGTGGAACTATGTGGCATCAGTGCGCCTTTCATTGCTGAGGCTGCACCCTGCTACGCCTGAAAGTAAAGACCGTTCACCATCTGCTGCCCGTTCGAAGCACATCACTTGTAAACATGACCACACCGAAGATTTGCCCCGTGCACGTCGCAAAGTTTGACGAGTGAAACCCAGAGCCCGCACAGCCAGATCACATCGCCGAAGCGCCTTCAGGGCCTTTGTTTCGCGCCGCAAGCCTGCACTCACGAACTGCGGAGAGGTGCAGCGGAGCCCCAGAACCAGTCCGAAAATGCTCAAAAACCCCTCGAAACCGGCGCTCAAAAACCCGCCCAAGACTGGGCGGGCGTGGCGACGACGCAGCACTCGGACGCTCGATGGCGCACGCGGCTCGGACGATGAGCTCGACGCACGACGCTCGGTTCGGACAACGCTGACACGACGGTGACGGCGGCGACAATAAGTTGGAAGGCACGGCCCATCGCGAGAGCTACGGGGTTAGTGCGGCAAAGCTTTCGCAGGGCAGCTGTGGATCAAACCTACTGCGGGGACGAAGGGGGGTTAGGGTGCCCTGAACCAAAAACCACACCCAAAAACAAAACAAGACGAAAGCACTCAAACAAAATGTTACTGCGAAAGTCGGCGAGCCTAACGAGACTGCTGCTACAAAGCAAAAATAGCATCACCGAGGACAAAATCCATGAACATGCCGCCGCTCCAAGCAAAACCGCCTTGCCCCCCGCCACCCAAAAGAGGGGCGCGACAAGCGAGACAGTGAGACAAACTCCCTTCTACAAGCCCGGGCCCCCAGAGAGACGAGGGAGACAAGCGGGACATTGAGACAAACTCTCTGCTGATTCTACCAGCCGGGGCCCCCCAGACATACGAGGAAGACAAGCAACACAAATTCCCTTTTACCAGCCCGTCCTCCCAGAAAGACGAGGGAGACAAACGAGACATTGCGAGAACCGCTTTGTTTCGTCGTGGTCTCGCTTGTCTCATCAGGTCTGTCCCGCCCACAAGGCCACGGCCCCAATCGGTGCTCATCATCCTAAACCCCCGACGATAGCCCGGCAAAGCCACTTTGGCTTCGTGCGGCCCTTCTCGGGGCTGGCTGTGCCGCTTTTGGCCGGCAGGCCCGGCAAAGTGTGCGAAACATAGGCAGCGCGCACCCCGAACATCGGTGCCGGAGCGGTTCCGTGATGCCGGCGATTTTGTGTGGCCGTGTTCGACCCATCCTAGACCCTCCTCGACCACGTTTCGGGGGCTTGCCGGCACTGATTTGGCCTCACAGGGCGCTAACAGACGCAACGCGGCCAAGAATTGCAGATCAAACAAGAGAAAAGAGTCCGAAGAAGCACACATCATGACATGTGCACAAAGGCAAGAGAACCTACTTCTGAAACACAGAAGCAGAAAACGGTGACAGACAAAAACAAAAAACAATACTACCAGACTTCTCACCCAGCGTCTGCTCTGAGACAGGTTGACGCTCTTCAGCGATTGGACACTGTGGAGCTCAGGCTTGCCATCGTCGTTGAGCACCAACCTTCTTGCCACGAGGTCGCAGTCCACGGTGAAGGTGTTGATGCTTTGTAGGCGGTGTGGGCGATGCTTGGGACCAAGCCTATGATTTGGACATCGCCTCCTTCAGTCTGACTCACAGTCTCGAGCATCTTCTCGCCGTCGTTGCTGATGATGTAGAGACCCTTGTGCTCGGCTTTCTTGTACATCTCCAGCTTCTTGAAGCGCTCAAGGTGCTCTGAGATCTGTCCCTTCGCACCCTCCATGACGAACGTTTCCTCACCAATTTTGACCATGAGGTCTGGCTTCCCGTCACCCTGCTTCGACGATTGTGGAGCAAAGGGCTTGTAGCCGATTTCCGTCAACACACTGAGGATGGCTTGGTTATACTGTTGCTCATGTGGAAGACCGCCCTTCGCCAACTGAGATACATCTCCTTCGAAGCTGACGACCTTGGAGAAGAACAGGTAGGGCAATGCTCGCATCAGTAAGTCTGCACAGTGTCGGGGATTGCTCGCTTCA